GTTCTATTTCATTCCGAGTTACCAATGTTCGAAAAAATCATTTTTTTTTTCATGCAGTGAAAATAAAAGTATTCTAATTAGAAAATATTCATCCGATATTATAACCAAATCCAACCTATTCACACCTAGAAGATCAATTATGAGATTTGACAAGCCTCGTAATGAATACGAATAGGGAGGATAACTCCTAATTAAGAGATAATCTCCATTTCCGGGGAAAGTGCCTTGCCGAAAGTGCTTGGTTGTCATGGCTACCCGAGACGCATTAATAATGAAAACAAGAATGATGGTTTTCTCTCAGAACCACGGATAAACTAAATTTCTTTTCATTTAGTTAAATTGTGAAATATCATATAATATTCAGGCATATACCTTTAAGGTCTATGATTTAGGCCGGTGTATGCGTGTTAAAAAGAAAAACATGCGACATATTAAATTACCTTGTGCAGCAAAAAACCCACACTGCATTTGACAGTATCATTCGTATTATTATGAACGTCGTTAGCTAGACGCAACACTCAGGTCAAATGTCAATCACGAAATTTGATATAATATGTTATATTAACACCTACCTCAAACTCATATGTGGTACCGTGTTTAAACTCTTATATGACACGTTATTTATTTGGATTAATTGAAAAAAAATAACGTCTTTTTAATATTTTATAATTATTCAATAGTCAAGCTTACGTGTAGTGACGTCACGGTGACCTTTAATCAATAATTCCATGCATAAACATATTACAGCAATTGGCGTATTGCAAAACAATTAATACAATGTATTGGCGACTTCCGGGTCTTATACAGATGTTGTTAATTTCTTATTGTTTATTTGTATACTGTGAACACACTTATTTTCACTGGCGTTAAATTTCAATATTTTGATGCTTAGAGCAATTTCACTGGGTTTTATTTTCACGAACTTGGCAGCTCACGTGTATTTAACTTACGGATTTTACTTATCGGCGAAAATAGCCAAATTAGAAACCAGCGAGTAATTACAGCAAACTAATGCGTCCCACAGCTAACCCCACCTAAGGGTGGGTTGTTAGTGAAAACATATAACAAGTACATAAACATACATGAACGTACACAGCATGCAACGGACTCGATACAGCATTCCATGATGATTTCCACGTACCGCCAGAATATGTATTGAGCATCACAATACTGTCATCTCGGCGAAAAAGTTGAGTGCAACTGTTTCTCCGTCTATCGCTACGTATACGTAGCTAGAAGTGTTAAAAATATGTAGTGAATATTACTGTAAAGCACGATGAAATCGTAGTCCCCTAGGTCAAAATGACGTATTTCACTTGCGCCAAGGTAACAGTCACTGAAGATAATACAAATCCCGCATACTAATTTGATTATGTGTACGTTCAGTTGCTAGGCGACAGTCTCATTAAAGACCATTCGTATTCGCGGGGAAAACGCCATGTTGAATTTGTATTCAGGAAAAACAACATAGTGTCTGTCGCGATTCCTATACGTTTGTTCAAAATTAGGATGGCGCGAGAAACACTGAAATAAGCTGTGATACAGTTCAGGTAAACGATAATTATTAGATTCATATACGAAGCGTACTAATTCCAAATTTGTATACATCGATCAATGTCGTGTATATGATGTTGACGGGGAACTGTGAGAGTTAAAAAAACATGGCGTATCACTGAATTTAACCTGTCGTTGCAGTATTGTCCGTAATACCCAATGGTGTAAACCGTTCCTCTGTTACGTCTTGTGCCGGTGTCTCGTTGCGGCTTAAGTCTCAATCCTGATAGAAATTGTATACTGACTGACATTTGAAATTATATCCGCTGATATATGCAATGTATACTTGGGGAATGATGGTGTTTGGCGTGATCTACTTTCCCTGGGCGAAGTGAAATATACTTTTATTTTTCATCCAGGTTTTTTAAACTCGCGTCATCGCAACGTAAGCTGATAATAACAGTGAACAAACACGCACACACAGAGAAAAAGGAAGCACAATGCCGCAAAGCAACAGTAAGATGTTTGGAATTGGAGTGGCTGACATTGTCATCGGGGCCATGCTAGTGTTATTCGGCAGTATATGTTTGGGGGCGTGCTGGGTGTCTGGTTTCTATACGTATTCTGGGGGACCTGTGTGGACTGGAATTTTGGTAAGTTTGCTGCTGATTTTTAATGTCGAACTGAACACACTGTGTTTCGTGCATTGTGGCACCATGTGTGAACTCTGGTGAAAAACACATTTCGTAAGGACCCACTGTGATTATCCGTTTATATACAAGTATCAATATATCATAAATAGGCCTTGTTACTAACGCGATCAACCCCGTTTTGAAAGCAGGGTCTACGATATTTCTGTCTCTGACTGCCGCTTAATTTGGACAATTTCGTCGCCATCGTCTTTTTTAAATTGTCATTAATTTGCTGAAAAATGCGTAGATCGATTGTGATAGCAATTAGTATGTACATTTTTTAAATAATTAATCAGATATATTATTAATTTCTAAGCAAACCCTTCTTATACAAATGTACATGAAATTTTAATGAATTCAACTATGAAATGTTACATTACATTGTATTATTATTATTATTATTTATTTGTTTATTTGTTTATTTATTTATTTACAGGCTATTATTGCTGGCGTCATTGGCGTATATGCATCAAAAACTGACAAAGTCAATAGCATGGTAAGTGTTTGTAGACATTTTCAGCACTTCAGTGCTTCTACGTTCGGTCTCCGTCCGTGCGTCCGTTTGTGCGTCTGTCCGGGGTCTAATTGCGGAATCCTTTGAATCGATTCCGTTCATTCTTTGCATGTGCCTAATACTTTATGTGGGACATATACACATGCAGTGGTTTAGCGATTCGATTCAAACTTGGTACATAAATTAAACATGTTAGGATACATGTCTATGACAATTTCGCAGTCACGATAGTTTTTGCGATCACGTTAAAAAGGCTAAATTTGAATTAATTGTATTTCGTTTGTAAAACAAAAAAGAAGTCCCGACTTTGCCAGTCTATATGTAGCTGTGCGATATGTTTTCACGGACCCTGGATTCGGAATCACTGTTGACGCCAATGCGGAAAATAGGAAATCAAATGTACCGGTACATGAGAATAGTCTAACTTTATCAGAGTTGTGCGACAATCCGCGGTAAAGAACGGTCAAACCAGTTTTGTATGACGTGTATCGTAATATTGGTGATTTAACGCGTGTATCGTATTATTGATGATTTAACACGTGTATCGTTTTATTGGTGATTTAACGCGTGTATCGTATTATTGATGATTTAACACGTGTATCGTATTATTCGTGATTTAACGCGTGTATCGTATTATTAGTGATTTAACGCGTGTGTCGTATTATTGATGATTTAACACGTGTATCGTTTTATTGGTGATTTAACGCGTGTATCGTATTATTGATGATTTAACACGTGTATCGTATTATTCGTGATTTAACGCGTGTATCGTATTATTAGTGATTTAACGCGTGTGTCGTATTATTGGTGATTTAACACGTGTATCGTATTATTGGTGATTTAACGATTTAACACGTGTATTGTATTATTGGTGATTTAACACGTGTATCGTATTATTGG